CACACATAAACTCTGTTTGCCTGGTATGTTACGATAAACAAACCGCAATGGTGTACTGAATGTAATAAATGTTAAACAGTGCATGCAATTATATACTTCACATATCTGGCCCTGCACACTGAAAGCATGCTTTGTGGATCTGGGCTCTATTTTGACAGATCGTTATTCCCCTTCCTGACCACCTAGGGTTACATTCAGAAATGAACTGTTTATGAGATGCCTAGGGTAGATGGCACATTTTAGCCTATATTTCAGTCAGTGGAATATATAGATTCTGATGTGAAAATTTCACAGTTTCATGGAGCAGAGGATACATTAAAATGCACAGAGAAAACAGGTACAGGTTTCATGCTGATTTTAGACACTTAAGATTAGAAGATGTATATAACTGGAAGGTTGATATTTAATGCTTTGCTGCGCTTTCTGCTTCGCCTCTTTTCTAAAGATTTGTTTTTAGAACTTAAACTCTTGAGCCACAGACTCAGGAACGAACACCTCCTGTCTTTTGTGCTTGAACTTTTAGTACTCTTTCTCTGCCCTCTTCACCATACCATGTATTTATCTCCTTTGTGTATTGACTTTTTTCACCTCTCTGGTCTCGTAAAACCCATTTGCCTGCCACAGTATTGCTAATTACTCCTGTTATATCCATGAAAACAAGGGAGGTTTTTGTGTTAGACAGGGGCTGCTGCAAGACATCAAACTGTGACTATAATAGAGAGTATGCAGGTAACTTAAATCTCAGTTGCAACTAACACACGTCTAGTTGTTTGTTTGAAAGAGCTGCACTTTCTCATTGTTCCCTGGAGGTTGAATGCACATATCACTAGTTTCTTTGGCCTAAGGGATCAGGCAAATGTATGCATTGTGATCTGATGACAATGCTTTTTTTTCTCATGATGTTCAAGAATCACCTAATCACCCTCAAATAAGATCTCTAATTTTAAACCACTGCCATGATTAATTACCTCAAACTCAAGCTCCGAATGGAAGGAGTGAGTGTGTTAGATCGGTAGAAACTGGGGCATCAGCGGTCGCCTGTATTTGGATTATAAGTCAACATGCTTTTAGCTGTGCTGCTTGCTGAATCAGCTGTTTCTTCGTAAGGATAGTGAATGATCTTAATCCTGTATATCCAAGTAACCTTCTCTGAAGGAGGAAGAGTACAGGAATAGTGCAGATATTGTAGTCAGGCAATGTCTAGACAAAGACCACAACGTATTAATGCAACTTGTATGTGAGTGATTCTTTTAGTTTTATAGCTATATATAACTGTTGCCGTATGAGTAAATTGACTAAAAGGTCTTGTTTTAGTGTTGCAACTTTATATCTTAGTCTGTGGGAATACATATATACCTTGTAGTTTCAGAAAGACACCAGCAGTTTCTCTTACTTCTTGATAGTTGTTCTGAAGTAAGCTTTTCTCAGGATGGTGACAGCTTGCAGCACTGGTGTGAGAGGAGGAGAAGACAAAGCACTCTGTACTCCGAGGCTGTGCGTGATTAATGACAGAGGTGTGTGTTGCAGTGGGCACCCTCGGAGCAGCTACAGATCAGTCTTCCTGTAAGACAAATCTGACACTCACCAACCCACCGCCCCACCTGCTACCCCCTCACCACCATCAAACCCTCAGCTCCTCACAGCCAAGTGCACCCAGCACGACATCACACTCATAAATCATCCCAAACAAAGCATGTTTAATCTGTGACGCGCAGGCCTGACACGCAAATTTATTACCTGTTGTAGGGAAAAACTGCATGTGCCCCACTGAGTCAAGCCTCTATTTACCTTTGAGAAACCAGTAAAATACTGGAAAGACAAAGTCTGCAACAAAGAAAGCTGATGATGGTAGTGTCTTTCAGGCTGAATTCAGGAGACAAAGCCCCGCTTTACTCAAGCATCCCGCTGCCTTTTCATGGCGGATGACATGCTTGCACGACTTTCTCGACTGCACTTGCCAAAAAGATTTAGGGATTTTTCTCAAGCACATTTGTAAAACATGAATACCAAATTATCTCTTGTGGATTAGAGTTGGATAGCTGCTCTATGCGCTGGTGTGAGTCATAATGCTTAGTGAGAACTGGGCACCTACTACCTACAATTGTGTGATAGGGTAGGTTTTTAGAAATCAACCGTGCAGTAATAGAGCATTGTGAGGGAATATGCATGTAATATTCTGCTTGTCTTCAGAGGCAGCGGCGTAGAAGCAATTCAGGAAACACGAGAGCAAAAACAAAAGTTGGGATAAAGAAAATGTTCTAATATGTGTTTTATAAAAATGTGGACCTACTGCACACTATAATACAGGCATCATCAGTGTGCCACCTATCAGTTAAAACTAATGTAAAGCTAAAAAGCAGCATTTGGAGCGGAGAGTGGTGTGTGTTCTCTAAATGCTGCCTACAGGTAAACAGTGACAGTACATTCAGATATCTTTAGCTTTCATGCTATACAGCCTGACAAACTGAATTACAGTAGCGTTAGCTTGATGTGGAATCGTGGCTAAAATGCCAAGAAGAACTGGCTGAGAGGCAGAAATTATAAAGTGGTCTCTCCCACACATTCCCTTTGGCAGTCTCCCTTGATCCTGCTCGTCCTTAACATGTCTTTACACTGTAAATGGTGGGAATGAGAAGTGATGGCACCTGCTGACTGGCTTTGGCGATGTCAGAAACTCACACATACACACAGACATGCAACAAGGTTTTTGCTTATGATGCAATCATCAAGTCAGAAAATCTGTGAAATTTGCCAACACTGAAGCGCTTAAGTACAAAATGATCGTTATGCCTCACAGAACATCAAAGTTGGATCTCCTAAAAGCCAGAGAAGGCATCATGAATGTCGTTTTTTTCCCAATACATGAAACCACATACATTTACAGATGGCTCTTACTTAAAAAAAATTAATGAAATAGAGAAAGTGGCTTGTTCCATTTAGTTTACAAAATTGCATGTTTGCAAGTACGAACACTGCTAATATCTCCCAGCAACTTATGACATTGTGAATTATTCGAGTCATTTCAGGTGATTAATTAAATAATAGTTGAAATTAGGGACAAAATGAATAATGGTAAGAGCAGTTTCATTCCTGACCTTGTTCAATTTTTAATGAGCTCAGTACGACGGAGACTACGTTTTATAAATGGAGCTATAGGCTCATGTGAATATTGGAGATAATTAAAGAGCTTGTGTTATTATCTGGATCTCTGTACATCTGCAGGAAAAAGAAGGCGGGGGGGGGGAGTGGGAGGGGGGCATCAAGCAAACTACTCCACCTTGCAGTTGATAAGCATTCAGCGGCGCGATAAACAGAGAAGAATACTTTAAGAAACCCAAGAGGCTGGTAATCTCAGGAGAGATCATCAGCTCATCATAAGGACCTTTGTGTGCCGTCGTTCTCCGCCTCAGGAAGAGCACAGACGCTCCACAAAACCTACTGCAGAGTGTCAAAGCTGTACAGAAGTGAGATATAAACAAGATGAAAAACATCACACAGCGCTTGAGAAGTCGTGCCTGTCATTAAACCTGTATAACAAATACACCGAAGCTGCATTGTCTTGATTTTGCATAAGAATGTTTGACTGCAGTTTGACCACAAAAACCGAACTGGACACTTCTCTACTGACCCACATTCACTGGAGATGTCATAGCTTTGGTTATCTGCTCCACTTTCCTCAGCTAACTGATATCATGAGGGGTTTTCATTTCAAGTGTCATTCCCTCACATTAACAGTTGTGTGCTATTCTATGCTATTTGGAGCCGGCAGGCCTTGGTTACTTTTAATTACAGTGGGTAATGAGAGAAGCGATCCAAACTGTGAGACATGGAGTATTTTTAGATCTTGATCTTGATTATCTAACACATCGCTGCAGTCTCCTCAAATGCGACTTTGTTGGGAGAGTTTTGTGCCATCAATATGATGAAAATCACTATGGATGGAGAGTTTTAGCACTTTGAAACCACCAATTAAATAATTCAACACATTTTTAAGCACTTTACAGTAACCCTTCTAGATTGTAATACTTTTGTACTTTCAACTTGATTTATTTTAACAACTAATTGCAGATTTGTTTAACAAACCCAACCAGTGGTTATGTAAGGAACTCTCACTGCAGGGTATGTCATGGGTAACTTTATATTGCAGAGTTGTTATCTCGAAAGTCACTGAAACTGCAGTCTGGCATTTGTCTGCAGTGTTTGTCCCATGACTGAATGTGTAGTGTGCAGCGAGTGGAGGGGCCACGGATTGGTGAGGGGTGTTGAGGGCTTTTCAGAAAGGCTGTTTTAATGAGCCTCAGATAATTAAATGTTATTTCAGAGCTCGGTGGTCAGATCGCTGTCTCAGAAAACTGTGTGACTCAGTGATCTGTTTGTGCTTTTCTCATTTACAAAATAAACATCTATTTCTTTCCTCGCTATCGTATTGTAGATCAGACTTGACTTATATAGCCTAATAAAGCTCGCTGCATGAGACGCGTGTTTTAGTCCCCTTTTTTAATTGGAGAGAGAGAGTGTCTGGGTCTATTTGTGGTCTGGTGCAATGTTGGAAATGCCAGCTGTCGCGCATCAAAGCCCTGCTGGAACAAACCGTTATTTGGCACGTCCCTGCAACTTGTTGAAATGCATCACTTACACTTCCTCCATATAATTAAAAAGGCAAATTACCTCACATGGACTTTTGATAACGTTTAAAATATATGTTTTTAATTTTCATGAAAACATGTTGCACTATGAAGACTTATTTTTGCAATAGATTCAAAGAAGAATCACACATAAAAAGTATTTTCTCCCTAAAATGTTTCACTATGTTGTAGAAAATTACATTTTGCATTCCTCCCAGCTGTCTGTGGGAGGAAGGAGAAATCTTCAACACCTTCTGGAGTTATGACTGACAGCTGTGGCTGGCCCAGAGAGCCCTGAGCCAAGCCCCGTCACATAACACGTGCCCGACATGTCTATGTCCATCTGGGGTCCTACCTTTCAAACCACTGCCCCCCTTGCTCTCTGCCGGCAGAGAGACCAAGGGACACGAGGAGGAACAGCGCGTGAAGACGGGCCTCTTAGGGCTCTGAGGGAAGCATCCAAAGCCAGCTGGTCTGGCTTTGAGGTAAATCAATGGGCAGAGTGAAACAAAGACAGCAGAGAGAAGTGGAAGTGTTGTAGACAGAAAGAAAGGAAGAGATAAAGAAAGCCAAAACTTGTAGGGGGGGGGAAGTGGAGAGATTGGAACAGCAGGTTCTGTGAAGGCGTTTGTGCAACAGCGACTAACAGGTGAGACACAGGTGTCGGGAAAAGTCTTGAATCCTTGCACATGATGGAAATGTGATGCCAATTAACACTTATGTCATTACAAGATTGATTCAATTTGTCTGTCTATTACAAGTTTTTGTCTTTTGTGTGATTATGTGGATTTGAGAAACTATCTTATCACCTGTATTGTTGTGGCATCATGTTGAGGTGAAACTTAATGAGCTGATGTAAATTACCTCGGTGTTGATTGTATTTTTTTGCAAGCATCATTGTTTTTTTGTTGCTGGCATCACTTTGGGAAGATGGGAGGGGTGCATGTTGACACAAAAGTGCTGCTAAAGGAGATGCTGAGAGCAATTTGGATCCACACTGTTGTCAGTTGGCATCAGCCTGAACTCACTAAGAACCACTGCACAGCAGAAACTTTACTGATTGAAAGCACTCCAAGAAAACAGCTGGGGACGGCTTCTGTCTAATTCTTTTTAGTCGTGACTATCGTTACTGACAATGCAGAGGAAAGAACAGAATTACATGCATATGTATGACGATAAAAAGAGAAAACTGCCATCAGTTGTATTTTTAGTAGTATTTTTATTTTATGCAATACTGCAAATTGGCTTTCACTTTTGGACCAAGCACTTTATTACAAACTTTGCTTCATTATTATAATACTACATTCACATGAAGTTGCAGCAGTATTATTGACAGCCTATGTCTTAATCTGCAGATAGCAAGAAAAGGTGAATGAATTTTTATTCTATCCAAATATCACCGAGAACAGACGGTTCTTGTGTGGTACATTTTCATTTTATAAGCACTTCAGGGTGTTGTATGTTTTATTAGTGCTATAGAATGTAATCTGAGCCATCCACATAATAAAGGAAAATAATTTGGCATAATTGCATTGCAGGAAAATTACCATCCAGATTAGCAACATATGATTAAAAAGTGTGCCTGTATATTCTCAATAAAAGCTTGGTAAACTGTCATTTGGTACTCACGAATAACCATACAGAATTCTACAGTGAAATAGGGTTACAAATATCATTCAAAAGCCACCCCAACATACAAACAGAAAGTAGAGCATTGCCCCACAATATAACCACAATCTTATGCTGCAATATAAAGGACTAGCGTGGATGTGAGAAGCATTAATGTGGCCACCAGTTCCCTTTTGGTTTAGTATTCAGTCTTCAGGGCTTTTTTCCCACTTTGAATGGACATGCACATATGTGATGCACACATTAATTTACACATAATGTGCAGTTATCCTCAACTGGCAGAGATTATGATGGACAGAGTGACTCTTGTAGCTCTACTGGCAGGTGGTGGTTTCTCTTCTCGAGCCTCAGTTTACACAAGGCCAAGACCAAGGCTCCAGCAAACTGCAGGAACAGCCAGCTCAAATCGGCTCATGTGGCCATAAAGCACGCCCTCATTTAACCTGAACCTGTGCATGGCCAAAAGCCAAGAGCCAGAAGCCAGGAGCCAGGAGCAGGTTTGTGCAGACTAAATTTAATGAACTTCAAGCAATCGATTTCTAAACTGCAGTTTGTTTTGGATTTAACATATATATATTGAGGTGTGGTTAGCAATGCAACTGAACTGTGCTGTACGGACATTAAGGACAGTTGTGACTCCTTGGCCTAGCGCCCCGAGGAAACAGGAGGGATGAGGAAGACTAGACACGGTATTTTCCTTCAGGGCTGGGACTAACTGGTGAAAAAGGTAGCACAATACACTAGGGGCCAGGCTATACTAGACTAATACAAATGAGCCACATGCAGCAGGAGCCGTGCTTTGTGAAAACCCCTTCCCTTCATTAGCGTGCGCGCAGTGTAACAAACAAGGATGTCATTAGAGGAGGATGTCAAAATAATCATGCATTGTTTTATTCAGCCAGGCCAATGGTGCCATCAAATCACTGATTCTGTTTGCAGAGACAGCAGATTGCTTTGACTGCTATGTCTAAAACAAAGAAAGACATGTGAGTACACAGTTAGTCCAGTGACTCATTGTTGTTTAAAATTTAAAATGACACTTGAAGTAATCAGTAAAGTTTTTATGAAGTCCTGTGACCAAAATGATGAAGTCATATGATGCAGAAGCAGTCATTCAAAAGCAAATGGACATTCCTTTACTATGAGATAATGAGTAGTCTAATTTGTAAACCTTGTGTGCAACTTGTAACTCCTCTGAGTCCCATGTAATATAATAGATGCAAGGTGTGGTGGAGGCAGAGGATTCAGATAATTTACTTAAGTAAAAGTAGCAATATCACAATGTAAATGTCCATCATTTAGAGTTGTACTGGAGTAAACAAAAGAATTATTTGCAAAATGTACTTAAACTATCAAAAAAGTAGTCATTATAGAGGCAAAATGCCCTCTGTCAGTGACATTTCATTTGTTATATTATTAGATCATACGTGCAAAATGAATAAAATCCAAAATTAATATTTTATATGCATTTAACTATTAAATAAAAGTACGACATTTCCCTATGAAATGAAACAAAGTTGAAGTATAAAGTAGTAGAAAATGGAAAATAGGCTACTCGAGTAAACTGTGTAACCGGTGGACTCTAGTGATGTCTGCATTGTATTGGTATGAAGAGGCCCAGACGATGGATATCTTTGGAGGCTAACTCTGTTTATTCCTTACAACTCTGACAGCAAAAGGTAAAAACAAAATCCTCCGTCAAATACAACCATATTAACTTGAGCCTCTCTCCCATGGAGCACAACAGCAAAAGGGGTGGCCATTTTACATTCAATTTCGTACACTGAAACACAGAAAACATACCTGACAGCAAGCGGTAAAAACAAAATCCTTCGTCAATTAAAACCATATTAAATCGAGCCCCTACACGAATTAAGTGACACAGGAATATGTTAGCATAAAATGAATTTATAACCATAGCTTTACAGCGCTAAACACGGCACTCACTACTAGAGCAAAGTCGCTTACCTCAGCAAAAGGGGTGAGGTGAAGCAGGAGACACCCCTTTATAGGCAACACATTCCAACTACGACTTTGTCACATATTGACGTTTGGTCATGGACATTCCACGTCCACATACGATGTGAACAGTACCCTGGGTGCGTTGGTTGTTGACCTTCTGGGACACTGTCAACTTCTGCATGTTACATGCATTGTCATTTTTCAAAATACACTTCCCTTTTCACAGGAAATTTACCGTTTACATACAGTCTCTTTCAAAATAAATGCACTACGTCGGTACAACATGGTGAATTGATGTTTTTTTTCCTTCAACAACAAAAACACATGGTTAGGTTTAGGCAACAAAAACACGTAGCTAGATTTACGCAACAAAACATGTGATTAGGGTTAGGCAACAAAAACATGTGGTTAGGTTTAGGCAACAAAAACACGTTATTAGGTTTAGGCAACAAATACATGTGGTTAGGTTTAGGCAACAAAAACACATTGTTAGGTTTAGGCAACAAAAAAAATGTGGCTAGGTTTAGGCAACAAAAACATGTGGCTAGGTTTAGGCAACAAAAACATGGTTAGGTTTGGGCACCAAAAACACATGGCTAGGTTTAGGCAACAAAAACACATGGTTAGGTTTAGGCAACAAAAACATGGTTAGGTTTGGGCACCAAAAACACATGGCTAGGTTTAGGCAACAAAAACACATGGTTAGGTTTAGGCAACAAAAACACGTGGTTGGGTTTACGCAACAACAACATGGTTAGGTTTAGGCAACAAAAACACATGGTTGGGTTTACGCAACAAAAACATGGCTAGGTTTAGGAAAAAAAACAGGGTTTGGCTTTAGAATCTTACGGGACACAAACACCACTCTCCTGGGTGAAAGTCAGTGTTTGTTTGACCCATCCATCATCGCTCCCGCCCACCCCAGACGGACTTTTGCCGCCTTAACTTTCGTCCTTGTCCCACTGCATTCCCCTCTGACGCTGCTGAGCCCGCTTAACTATAACAGCAGCCGGCTACGTATCATGCCGGGTTTAAAGGACTCCTTATTTCGTTGTTTTCTGACGATGCAAGTCACTGCCCATGCGCCGAATTTCAACGACTTCAGAGTACCCCCAAAGGTAAACATAGGGGTAACTGGGTATCAAATGTTTCACATATTGGCTAGGGAGGCTTAAGTGTGTCAGGTAATAACAACTGAAACACATTTTGTGTAATTATAATACTTAATATAACATGTACATTTGACTTTGTTACATATACATATAACTCTTTGACAAGTACAATATTTTCCTATAAAATGAAGCAAAGTTGAAGTATAAAGTAGTAGAAAATGGAAAATAGGCTACTTGAGTAAACTATATACTTGAGTAAAACTTAGTTTCCTTCCCCTGTATTAAAGCTCTGGGTCTGTTCAACCCAGGTCTTGAATACAGTGCAAGGAAATTAACTTTTACTCATGTACATAGTTGCACTGCTAACTAGACACAACTCTAAACTGCTACATATCTTCCTGACAGGTGCCCATGTGCATGTAGTCACTCTCCCTAAACTTTGCCACACGTCCATCCCCTCCGTATCAAACACATAATTAAAACAGCAGATGACAATTGTGCTCAATCTCTGTCACACCTGCTCCCAAACGTCAGTACACGCAGCCAGTGGGCCCAGGCACCACACCTCCTGTGATCCTGCACGTACACGTGACATGCTCATATGCGAGTCAAGCGGGTCCCGCCTCCCTGCTCTAATTGGCTGCTCAACAGACGCTGCGGATCCCCATTGGCTGCGGGGAGCGCCCTTTAAACCGAATTCCATTGCTGTTGTCTTAGAGATATGACGTCAAATGTATCTAATGTGATGAGGCCGAGCCGAGTAATTTGGGAAAGTAGTTGTCCTGAAGGAAACAGATTGTACAGTCATTGTGGTGGTGTCTGATTCAGATTGTTGTACTTTTATTTTTGGTGTTTTTCCTGTCAGTTGTGCCAAAGTTTCTGTAAGTTTAGTGTGTTTTACACTGTAACTGAGTCACCCTCAGGACTGTTTGGGACAAAGTGTTAA